AGCTGAGTGTTTTCCCCAATGACCACAGACAGCTCAGGACTGCAGGTACGCCATGATTGCTGCTGACTTGGAGGCTAACCAGCCTGATTTAGAAGGTGCTGCGGAGCCTATGTGTGAATTTGTTTCCAAATGGAGTGGGGGCGACGACCCGATGTACCTCAAACAGCTGTTCATGTTCTCTAGCACGCTGCTCCACTGCAGGAGGGACTTACCACCTTCGCTCTTCAAAGTGCTGTCATGCCTGGATTGGGCGGGAGGTCCAAATTACGTTTTCGCATTGGTCAAAGCTTCTCTTCGTGCACCCGATAATCATACACGCGATGGCAACGTTTCAAAGCTTTTCATGGGGGTTGACATCCAAACTATTACCAGCACTAACAGGGGTAAGTGTGTAGAGGCGCAGCTCATGATGGAGAAAGCACGGGGGTTCTTGGATTCTCTCGTAGTGGACGCGTCAGTGAAGGAGCGCCTGGTGAGCGAGCTTGAGATCAGGTGCGTGCACCACATCCACAAGAAAAAATCCAGGGACCTGGTTGAGTTCAAAAGTTTGCAGGCGATTCAGACCCAATTCATGCTGGATGTGATGGAAGCCGTCCCCTTCGTAGCAAGCATGCCTCCTACCTCGTACCCGTTCCGTGTGACCGTGCCGAAGGAGCATAATAGCACACTTGGGCCAAGCATCAGGCAGTTCACCGCTACTGGCGTGGATGCTGGGGAGTTGAGCAAGAATGGTTTTGTGGTAGGCTCGGTGATCACGCGCAAGGCACCCCAGGATGGCGAGAAGGACGCCACTTACACAATCATGAGCATCGGTGAGACAGTCGATATTATGCCCGCTGCAGCCCCTCAGTCCAAGAAGAGGTCCAAGAAGCAGAGCAACGATGACTCCGAGCAGATGGGGTTCACCGTCGCTGCCATCTTGGACGACTTCGAGGAAACCGATTTTCACCATCAGGAGGAGGAGGGAGAAATATTCGTGGTCCCTCACCCTCCTCCCGCTTACCTCGGGAGGAGGATGAGGAGGATGGCAGTGAACCCAACAAAGGATAAACAGGAGGAAGGGAGTAACTTCAAAATGGATCTCAGCTCGTCGTTGAGCAGACCGACTTCAGCATCTCTACCGAAGCGGTAGGGACGATCAAGGACGCCACCCCGTCGTTGAACTTGGGGGTGGGGATGTAAACAGAATGTGGGTCCAATGTTTTTCTCCAGAGGCTTCCAGAAGATCGTCGGTCCCAGGTTCATTGCGGCTTCCCCCCTTGCCCTATAGGGCAAGGGGGGGAAGCTGAGGGTGTATACACCCTCAGGAGCACAAGGACATCAGCATGGAGCGAAGCAGGGCAGCGTTGCGCATAGCCCTGGCGTCGGTGCACGCATCGCGGGAGTCGTCAGCCAAAGTCACCATTGAGTTTGACACATCTGGCAACAGAGTCGTGCCGACAGGGGTGACTGCAGATGTAGCATACAAGAAAGGCCAACTGGTCCTTGTCCCTCTTACTCCTAACATTCAGATCGGGTCAAAGAATCCGAGCGCCAGTGTCGTTGTGAGTGGGTTTTCGTGCAAGGATAGTTACGGTAGGTCAGCTATTGCGTGGCTGGTTCCCAAAGTTGAGCTTCCACCAAAGGGTGAAATCCAGCGTGACTCCTGCAGCCATTTTGTTTGCCCCTTCTGGTGTGTAAAGGTAGCAGGGGACAGCATGCATACTAATATGATCGCTGACACTGTCAAGGCGAAGGTCCTTGTCTCTGACAGGGGGCCAAGTGGAAAAGGCGAGCTCTTCGAGACATCGTTCGAAGTCCCTGTGCCAGTGCTGGTCAATTCGTGCAACATCGCTGCAGGGGCCACTCTGTTTAAGGCTCCTGCCGTGGACGCTGAGCCGCCAGCAAAGAAACAGAAAGCTGGCGGTGATGAGTAATTGCTATATAGCGTGTGTCTTCTCACCCCCCCTCTTTCTTGAGCAATGGTTGGTCCAGTTGAGCACTCAGGTATGCCCCTCTTGTCCCACTCACCTCGAGCTTGCGCCGCGCGTCCAGGACAGCACCCCTTTCCTCTGTGTCAGACCGTGCCGAAACGTTGACCCAGTGAGGTTATAGCAGTGTAGGTTAGGGGAGGGAACGGGGAGAAATTGTAGACCATGTTTTGGGGACCTCGGTTGACCAGAAAGCGGCATTGACCCATGAAGGTTCTGACACTAAATGCGGTGCCTGTCCGAGCCTAGGCTTTTTTGTGACGTCCGCATGCGCTGGATGACGCCTGCCAACGTCGCCTCTTTCTAGCTCGAGTCGTGGAGCCCGAATGTTCTGAGCAGGGAAGCGCGGGCTCCCCTGCAAGACTTTGCATTCTTCGCTCAGCAGACATGGGGGACAGGTCTGCGTCGCTACCCTCGAGCAAACACGCTGTGCGAAAGTGGCGCCTAGGAGGAAGAGGAGGATGATACCTATGATGGTGTGGATACTGAGGACGAGGAGGAAGAGGGAAGAGGAGGAGGAGGAAGATGAGGAGGAAGAGAGAAGACGAGGAGGAGGAGGACGCGCACGGAACCCAAAAGCTTTCCAAGTCGATTCTAATAAAATGAGCTCAAGGAGGCTTGCAATGAGCTGGAGCAAGACGAGGGAGGAGGATGATGACGAGGGCGGGATAAGAAGCAGGAGGAGAAGGTGTATGGACGAAAGCTCGCCTCAGAAGGGAGCGCGTACTTCAGAGGGGGTGGCCAATTTGGGGTTCGTTGGGCCCCCCTATCTATCGGGACCACTCTCGGGACCACCATCAGGACTCTTTCGGGGAACTCTCAGGACTTTCTGAACTCTGGGAGGGGGGGGGCTCGGGAAGGCCCAAACGTTTAACCCCCGAGCCTCTCTCCACGCACACGCACACACACGCACGCACACCTTCTCCCAACGCCCCCAACGACCTCGCTCCTCCCCCGAGCACCTCCACCGTATATAGCCGTTTTGGCTCTAGCGCTGAGGGTCTCCTTTGGATCACCTCTCTTGTGTGTCAAGCGATGGCCATCATCGCAGACGCAGTCCTCATTGCCAGGAACGAGGCACCTTCTCTTGCGAGCTGGATGCCGATGACCTGCACCCACGCATCCAAGAGGTTCGTCTGCCTCGACAAGCAGAACAAACGCTTCGCGCACTTCGTCGGCAACGACTTTGCGATGACCGACCACATCCAGGAACTCCGCAACCAGCACGTGGATCGCATGTTGAAGAGTGCTCAGCTGAAGAGGTCCCTGCAGGGCTACAGCGAGACCAGGTCCGACGAGGGCGAGCAACCCCTGAAGGTGGCCAGGAAGGACATCTTCGACGAGATCGCTGATTGGACCACACTCTCAGTCGAGACTAGTGATGGCACTAAATTCATTGACGTGCTCACCAACGTCAACAATCGCAACAAGCTGTGGGTCGAGCTCTCGCCTTCGAACATGGACTTGTTGGTGATGACACCTTCTTCGGCAAGCTCGTCGAGCTCGTCGGGCCCAGCGCCTACTGTGAACGAGCGCCACGTCTTCTGGATGAGTTCCAGGTCTTGCCTGAGGACCAGGTGGTGGAGCGCCGCTGACAATCGGTGGGTGACAAAGTCTGTCAAGGTTGAGTTCGGAGACAACTTCCAGGAGCGCGTGGACCAGGAGGCAAGGAAGCTCGAGGAGCTGTACGCAGAGAAGCACAGCCCACCCAACTGTGGGCAGTAGTCGGTGCATGCGCTGCCTGAGATCAGGTCGTCTTTAGCAGCCCGCAGGTGTGGGCTCGAGCTATAGCTAGCGTTGGGGACGCGTCTGTGTGTAATATACATTCGCTGCACAGGCTATAGGTAATCCGATGCATGCTCAGAAACATTGTAAAAGAGTGCTCAAAACACACCTTGAGGATCAAATGATTGGTCACGCTCCGTCAACAACAGGTCCTCACAAGTGAAGTCCAGAGTCTCGGAGAGGCCCATCTCAGGGCAAGGGGTGCGCGTTCCACTTCACAGACACACTACCAGATAGCATTCGCCTGTTACGGCGACTTCCGATTCCGTGCCAGTGAACGCTCCCAACTCCGGATGTTCCACCCTGCTGGGGCAGGGCGGAACATTTGTTCCACCAAGCCGGGGCAGGGTGGAACATCCAGCCCTTGAGGTCATTGAATCATTCTTTAAGGAGGCTGTGTTCCACCAAGCCCCAGCAGGTTGGAACAAATGTTCCACCCCGCCCCAGCAAGGTGGAACATCGGGTGGTCGATCAACCCCTCCGTCAACACCTACACCCAAGCATCCATCATCTCCACTGTTCAGCTTCCCTTCCTGCCTCCGTCATTCCACTCGCCACTCCCTCCACGATCTTTTTTTTAATGCGAGCTCCGTTCGAACAGTTGTTGATTGACTGTCGCCAGTCCCTGTGGGCGCCATCTCGAGACGCGCACACCCTTCCCCTCCACGTCTGCGAAGGGAGGGAGGGGGGTAGGGAGGGAGGGAGGGAGGAGGGGCCCCAGGACCAAGCAACACAAGAAAAGAACGCAAGAACACTGGCGCCCACCACTAGAGGGCGCGAAAGGGCAAAAAGCCGCCTGAGCTGTGTCAGGCTACTGATATTTCCTGGGGGCAGCCCCGATCAACCTTAGGATGCTGGCATTCAAGCTGGAGGAAGAGGTGAGGCGAGGAGGGTCAGACCCGAGGCTCGAGCGAGGAGGAGGACGAGGGGGGAGAGGAAGGGTTCCCGCCGCCTGTGGCGGAACTACTACCTGAGAATTCGACTGTAACACTGGCGCCCTCTCTCCTCCTCCCCGGCCTATCGAACTCGCGGCAGAGGGAGGTGCAAACAGGGAGGGAGTAGCTATCTGCGATGCGGTGCTGCCACTGGGAGGTGCCGTCAAAGTCGCAGCTCCTCTGCCAGTAGCTATCTGCGATGCGGTGCTGCCACTCAGAGGAGTAGTCAAGGTCGGCGTCCCTCCACCAGTAGCTACCTGCGTCTCAGATCTGCCACTCTGCGGAGAAGTCGATAGCCTCTGAGCAACATCTAGATCGTCTCTGCGTTGTCCAGGAAAAGCTGCATCAAGCGCTCGTGGTGCGTGCGAGGTGGCGTGCCCTTCATTAGCTTTCCCCCGAGCTGCTTCAAGGAGTCGAGCAACTGTGTCTGCACGCCTGATCCCTGCGCCTCGAGATGTATCTTCATCAGCTTGCGATCGTGCGTATACGATATCTTGCAGTGTCGGATCTGCATGCACAGGCTGTCGTTCGTGATGGTTCCATCTGCTTTGATGGTGTCGAGGTACTGCTTCAGGGCGAGATGATTGGCGGCTCCTACGCGTTCTCCCTGCTGCACCACTCCGCCCACTAGCGCCAACCACAGGTGGGGGTGCGGCACGCCCAGCTTCTCCAAGTCCTCCACTGGCTGCTGGTCTCGGATCTCTTGAGCGTGCTCGCGGCGGATGCGATTGGCCTCGTCTACGTAGAACTTGGCTGTGATCCTCATGGCCTTGCAGACGTCGTGATCCCGATCCAAGTGAATGATGTGGTAGATGGCTGCTTCCAGGGCCGAGAGACCCTGTATGTTCTTCAGCGTCGCGCGCACCATCACGGGGAAGATGGCCTGGATCAGCTCGACTGGGAACGCCTCGTCGCCCAGGCCCATCACGTCGCCTCGCTGCAGCCCGTACGTCAGGTCGGCGTTCTGGAAGAGCTGGCTCAGCGCGTTGGCCACGCCCTGGTGTCCGTGCTGCTGTGGTTGCTGCTGCTGCCGTCCGCCCTGCTGGCCTCCCCCACCAGCGACGGCTGCCACCCCTTGAGGGCGGACCGCTGGCGGCGAGCCTCCCCCTGCTGGGGCGCGGGGCGGGGGGCCCCGAGGTCCTCGCCGTGCGCCTCTGCCTCGGTCTCCGCTGCGGGACCTCAGCGCGCTCGCTCGTTCTTCTGCGCCTTGGCTCATAGCACGGGTTGCCAGGTCCATCCCACTCGGTCGATACTAGATCTGGCGGTGGCGGGGCGTGAACGTCACGAATGTGTCGCTGGAGTTCGGCAAGCGACTGAAACTGATCAAGGTGTCTCGAGCCTGGTGGCATACACTCGACAAATGCACCAAACGCAGCATCGAGGTCCTGACAAATGGGGCAGAAGAGGTCCCCAGGTTCCTGAACAGGTGGGGCAGAAGGGCTCTGGTCGCAGAGACACCTGCCACATTTCAGCGATTGCACCACGTGTCGTCGGGCAGTGACCTGGCTCTTGAAGGTGGACATGCAATACAAGCACTGATTGGTGATCACGAGCAAGTGCGCTGGAACCCGATGCTTGTGACTGGGGTGGTGGCATTGATGGGCCACAAGGGCCCCTTTACCGTAGAACACCATCCCACACCTCCCATCCTCCCCATCTCCAGGTAGTTCGCAAACAAACTCATCAGGATCCTCTGGGGCGCCAACACTGGGACCTTGGGCACCACGAGGGGGTCCACGGAGCTCTGGAACCTCTCGGAGCAATCGGGGATCAAAACTGAGGAACTTATTAGCGACGATCGACCTCGTAAATATATCACGAACAGAATACTTTTCCACGAACTCCTTACCTCCGCGAAGGTACCGTAGCGCCTGTACATCTCGCTCCAATTGGAGGGCCCACGGGTTGGCGGTGCTAGCAACTCGGCCGTCCTCTCTGAAGGTCGGCTCTTCTCCGAGGCCGTCGAGACTGCCAAAAAGCACGGTGAGCGGCTGCGCACTGTCTTCGGGATAACGAGCGTAGCGTTGCCACTGTCTGAGGCGGCGCACAAGAAGCTCCGCTCTTGAGTCTGTGATCCTGAGTTGCCTCAACACCTGGGCCTCCGAGAGAGATCGATATTTCGGGCAGGTACCAGGAGGGGCGCCTTGCTCAAATTCAGGACGACGATCACGGAGCACAACCCGAGCGAGGCCCTGCACGACGGAACCGAGTTTCCTGAGGTCGAGCTTGGAGGGGAGGTACGATTCGAGGCCCGAGTAGGCCGCCGCCAGGATCGTTCCCTTGAAGGCCAGACGTTTGAGGCGAATCGAGCGAGTGATGTCCCAGAACCTGCCGAGCCTCCTCCACGCCGCCCTCGTAGCCTCCACCCTCCTCTTTATCTCAGCTCCACACCCCGCCGTCAGCTGTTCCATCCCTCCCAAGTACAGGCCCTCCGACGACGTGACCCCAGGAAGCGGAACCGTCAGGGACAGGAGGGCACGGGACGCAGTGTGGGCACCAGGGCCCACCATGACGGGCATGCAGTTCTCCTTATCAGGGTTCTGGGCGAACCCTCCTCCGTTGGACAACTCCCGATCGAGAATGGCGTTGGACTTCAGGACCCTGGACCTGGCCTCGAGAGGATTCGAGGTGGCGAGCGGGATCGTTTGGTGAATGTCGTCGGCGTAGTCTCGAACCGACACGTCATGCATCTCATTAGTCAGACTGCACGTCATGACACACGAAGCTCTGTGGAGCGGAACCTGGGCGTTCAACTTACTGCAGAAGACTGTGGCCTTGTCGGCGCCCAGCTCATCTCGCCAGGCTTCGACAGGCCTCAAGAAACTGCGCACAAAGAGCTCGCAGGCATTGCCGTCCCCCATCCCTGTCCCATGCTTCGGTTGGAAGTACCCGACCTGCTCCCCCGCCCTGATCTCCATCACCGCCTCCTCATGCCTCTGGAGCAAGAACGCTCGATCTTGTGGAAAAGGTACCACGGACATCACCGTGCGGGCGAGCTCAGCGTGCGAGGTGGAGGGGAAGGCGTTCGACATGTCCTTCTTAACAAGGAGGTGAGAGATCCCAAGCTTCCGAAGTCTCCAACTGTGAACTTTTGCTGCAATCTTTGCGTTCTGTCTACATCGATGTGCTGCATACCCGTGTGCGTGAGGAGGAAGGGGAGGATGTGCTGACCTAAGATATAGTCCACGATACCAGGCCTTCGCAAACGGGCAGTAGCAGTGGATCAATCTCATGGCTTTTGTCCCCTTCTTGGTGTTCCCCTTTGAGAGCTGGAAGGTCGTACTCCAGTGCCACTGCCCAGGCGTCCGTGATTTGGAGCGAATCTGGCGAAAAATGCGCCTAAGTCTGTCTAGGAAGTGCGGGCACGGCACGTGCAGTCGCTGCTCAAGTCGTTGCAACTGACGCTCTGAAAGCAGCTCTGAGCCTGGCCAAGATCCCGTCATCTCTCTCGTGGCATGCTCCATGAGCCAGCGCCAGAGTTCAGCGGGGGCCGAGTGCGCAGGAGAAAAGCGCCTGCGGGCAGCACTCCGCAGTTGCCTCAGAGTGCGAAACCAGTCATCGTACGCGAGCGACGCCGGTGCAGCCCCAGGGAAGTAGTCCAATCCCTCCTCCTCTAACTCCTCCATGGCCTCCCGAGTGGGCTGCATCGGGTCCTCGATCACTGTTGCGCTGAAGCCGCCCTCCCGAGCGTTCGAGCACATTGTGGTCGTCCACTCATCCAGTGAAGGTCGGTACTGGTCAGGGGCGTTGAAATACCTCTGTCGGGGTCCACGGCAGCGAGCCCCGATAGCATAGATGAGCTTCCATACTCCATGGTAGTCGGCCGCGCACCTGTGGGTCTCAGCCTCCGTCAGTAGTTCCTCCACGTGCTCGAGGTCTAGCCGCTTTTTGAGCAGCCTGACGTCCTTCTCGATGGTCCGAAGCTGTAGACGCTGCTCCTCTGTGAAGCAGCCCCTTCTGGCCAGCCTGCGCTGCAGGAGGGCCTCAGTCCGCGCGGCGAGGTGTGGTGCCAGCGGGCCTTGCTTCGCCGTCCTCATCAGCTCGGGAAGTGCAGCAGCCCGCACGTCTTCCACCAGCTTCTCCCACGAGTGACTGGGATCAGCGCGAGTCGTGTCCCGCTCCCACTCCCTCAAGTGCGAGGCCGACCGACGTTCGAGCTCCCCCAGGATCTCAGCACCAAAGCCATCGTGTCTGAGGAGGCGAACGACTAGGTCCTTGTCCCACACAGGTCCACCCTTGGGTGGAGGTGGCGCCTGCAAGGTGCACCGTACCTGCCACAGTATAGGTGCATGATCTCTCGGGCGACAGTCTGGCATCGCCTGGAGGTCCCGCATGGCATTGCGCAACGCGCAGCACCGTACAGTAGACGCGACCGCCTCGGACGGGACAAAGATGTGATCAGGCGAGCTCTGCGACTCCGTGCCGAAGTACGAGGGGCCGACTGGGTAGAACGTGTCCACCGCGGCCATGTTCTCCATCTCCAGGAGCCTCCACAGCTCCAGGGAGACCTCATTCTCGAAGTGGTTGCCGTGCTGGCCGATGTGCTGATGGTCCACCGTCGTCGTCGCGATGCCGTGACCAGTGCGTCTGAGGCCGAACCCGCAGTTGCAGTCCGTGCCGACAATGACGAGCGACCGTTGCTTGGCCTCCTGCACCGACTTGTGCAACCATCCAGCTAGCTTGCGACAGCATTGCCTCCAATGGTCGGCCGTCATGTTGCTCTGTGGCGGGAAATATGCAGCAATGATGGTGATGTCAAAGGCTCCAGACCGTACTCTCACCAATCCACCACGTCCAGCCAGCTCTCCAGGAGGGTGTCGGGCGTCGACCACATGGCACCGTCTGAAGACTCGTGAACGGAGCAGGACGGTGCACCCCGCCGACTTGTTAGTGTATCTGCCTCTCTCCCAGCCGAACTCATACGCTGTGTGGTACTTTGCCCGTCGCATGGTGACAGGCTGCTTCATCTTCTGACGCTGGGTCGTAGCTGGGCACACAATGATATCTGCAAATCGTAGCGTCTCTGAGATGTCATCTGTTCTCCAAGGATCCACAAGATGCAGCGGGTTATACAGAACAAAATTCAGAAGAGAGTTCCACATGGTAGTAACCGAAGAGTGTGTGAGTGCGGGGCACGGTGTGAGCCCCCCCCAGGCTCTGTGCGGGAAGGGGTGACCTCCAAAAAGCGGGGGCGGCCCTGTGCCCGCGGCGGCCTGAGACAAGGGGCTGGGAGGAGGGAGGAGGGAGGAGGAGGAGGAGGAGGATTTTTTCCCTCGAGGGCCCCTGGGCAGAACATCACCACGCGGCCTCAGGCCGATCCTGCTGCATGAGATGCCTCCTCTCTCTCTGCCGAATCCTCTCCGCCAGGGCCGACATTCCAGGCGTCGAAATCAGGCCCGAGCGAGAGGAGGAGGAGGAGGAGGAGGAGGACGGGCCAGGGTCAGCTGCCTTGAGCAGGACATACTTGGCCGAGGCACGACATGGGGTGCCATCACTTGCAGCGACAGTGCCCCGATTCCTGTAATGGGGCGGGAGACCTCGACGGATGCGTGTCAAGGCGCCTCGCCCGCTAGGGCCAGGAGGTCCGCATGTCCCGCCGAAGAGATAGCACAGCTTGCTGGTGAAGGCACCGCAGCGGAAACAGAACACCGTCGGGGCGCACTCGTCATCCTGCACAAAAGTCGTGCACAGGAGGTGGCCACGCTCGCTCTCGGCGCCCTGCAACTTACGTGGCGCCGTGGGAAGACCTTTGCACCCGCCCATGGGTCCGGAGTCTCCGATGGCCGTCTTGAAACATTTCGAGCGCCTGGCGAGCGAAGGGGGTTCCTCATCCCCAGGGTCCAGAACGAGCCAGTCGTGCCACTCGATGGCACGGAGGGTCCGAGCTTTCACCCTAGGGACCGTTGGGTCCCGTTGAAACTGGAGTTTCGGAAAAAAAGCGACAAAACTGCACCGAACATGGCCACCAGCTTCCGCAGGAGGGCCACATCCTTGTCTAATTGCTCCAGCTCCTCGCCTGGCAGCGAGGGATGCAGAGACAAAGCATACTTAGCCAGACGGTCCGCATCCTGATTCCCAAGAGCGATTTTGCGTTCCTGGGCGGTAAGCGCGGCTATCACCTCGTCCGACCGATGCGCTGGCGTGCGAGCACAGGAAGCAGTGCAGCGCTGGCCTGACTCCTGGAGGGCGCGCCGCCGAAGTCAAGCGAAGACATGGCCTGGGTCCAACTGTACGGACGGGCGCGCATTAGCCAGGTGCACGACTCCCAGACAATCCGAGTGGGCCTCACTAAGGCCTGTAGCCACACAGGTGAGCGTGGCAGCCCCGAGGTGTTCTCCCGACTGGGCCGTCTGGGGAAGGCCAGGCCCAACCGTTCCAAGAAGTCGAGCGCGAACCTCATACGGGGGCTCGCTCGACGAGTCGAAGAAAACGGCCGCATACGTGGCACGATTCAGGTCACGAAAAGCAAACTGAGTAGCCGAGCCGTCAACAACGATACGGGTGTTGACAGTTCGCTCACAAAACTCTTCGACCGATAGTGGCTCGCCTGACGGCCCTTGGAGAAGGGGATCAAGCTCGAGGCCAGGGGGGGGGCGCCTCAGGCTGAGCCACCATAAGCCGAGACCAAAACAGCAGTCTTTCAGGCGAGCAGGTGCGTGCCGCTAGTATCTCCTCATCTGAGAGATGCTCGCGACGTGCTGCTTCGACGGTCGGATCCGAGCAAACAAACTGCCTGTGGACTATGCAATCGGGCTCCCCGCAAAGCGGACACAAAACCACCCGAAACGTACCCCGAGGATTTCAGCCGATCCGCAGTCCAACAGGCCCCAGAGAAACACGAAGAAAGCCACTACTTCTGCCGACCATCGAGCTTCTTTGAGCGCAGCATTCGTCTCAAGGGATCGGGCGAGACGCGGGAATACGTGAACCTCGGAGTTGCCTGGGCCATCCTACGCTCGTGCATCCGCTGAACTCCCTCCTCAAGCAGCTTATTGAGGGGGGCAGGCGAGGTGTACAGCAGGTCAATGACATAACCTCGCTCGTCGTGCCACACCGAGAAACCTACCGCTTTCCAGCCGATCCTGTGCAGACATAAGAGCATCCCATGGATGGGACCTTTCGATGTTTTCCAGCCCGTGGGTTCCAGATCAAGCTCCTGGCCCTCGACGACATCCCTCCATATCTGTATGTGCTGCCGAAAGGAGAAGGGGGAAGTGGAAGGTGTGGTAATCGATCTCCATAGACTGGTTGCCCACTGGTGGGCTGGTGCCACCGACTGTTTCCACGCAGGGTCGCCGTGCAAAACCAACTTGGCCGTCAAAGAGGCCCCCCGATGTGCTGGGCTTCTGCCTGCTAACAATACTCGCTGCAACGATTGAAGCTCTGCGTTCGACATGCCTAGCACCGCTGCACCATATCCAGCGGCAGGGCGCACTCCAGCGATATAAATCTTCTGCATTCTCGATTTATCCCGAGGAAGTTTCCGATAGTGAGAAATCAGCCTGTGTCTTTTCCTCATCATCCTGAAACGTTCCTTCCTCTTACTCATACCTCCTTTGCAGGCTCTCCGTTGGCCTGGGGCCAGGTCCGCGCCCAGCGAGACGGCCGCGCTGGTCGCAGCCGAAGGACAGACAGCACGGAGCCGACGGCACAGACGGTATGCGAGTCGCTGAGACGAGGCGAAAGTGATTGCCTTGTCCTCAGCCAGGCGGACGTTAAGCCTGTGATCGAAGACATCCTTGAGGTCAACCCCTGCACGTACTAAGTTGGCTACGATCGTGTCTTCGTCGCCGTAGGCCGCCACCGTGTCGTCGTCGACGTAAGACCCAAGGGAGACCTCAGGGTGCCTCTGAGACCACATGTCAAACTCAAACATCGCGTAAACCTTGACAAACACGTCATTGAATATATCCCCAGCTGGAAGCCCAGACTCCGCAAAAAGAGCCAGAGGTGAGTGATTTGCCCCAAGTCTCAGGATCCGTGGAGACCCCCAGAGGTTATAAAGAGTCTTGACGAGCACCATGGGGATCCTCCAGAAGATAGCCCTATCTCGGAGCCAAGCCAGGATAAAGGACTCATAGTACTTCATACCATCCCAAATGAAACCTGCAGTGGCCTTGCCGCTCGAAGAAGCCTGCTCACCTGCTCCGAGAGGACACTCTGGTTCCAGATGGCCGCCTCCGGGTTTTGCCCCGAACCGAAGGACCAGTAGGGCCGATGGGCCCGCTCCAGGAAATCGTCGCACTGGCGCCGACGCAGGCGTTCCCAGACGCGAACGGGGGACCCCAAGAGCAGTATGGGCCGTAGTCCTCCTTTCGGCTTCCCCAAGAGAGGCATGAGCATCCACAGCAGCTGCGCTGGGAACAAACCTAGGCGTTCGATCGCCTCGTAGAGCATCGCAAGGACCTCCAGCCCAAGGTCACTCAAGCAGGCGAAGTGCCTGGGGTGGTAGCCGTCCAGCGACTGCGAGGTGTGGCGGCTAAAAGAGCGCGATGCTGCTCGTATCTCCGACGGGCTCGCGCGAGGGAAACAATCTCGATTCGGTATCCAGGCCGAAGGAGGAGATGTCCTAGCATTCCAGAACTCGCCTAGCTTGGTGGTCTCGGGGGCCAGGAGGCTCTGAGGGTCTGAGGTGAAGATTCCTGGGGAGCGCTCGACAACCGTGGGCTGCCACTTCCTCTGCACCTTCGTGAACCTATGCATGAGCCTCGCGGGTCCCGCTAACGACTTAGCTTGCCAAGAGTCCCAAGATTCACGTGAAGCCTTCTCGCCATCGTTGATGGCCTCATCGTAGTCGGTCTGGATATCCTCCAAAAACTGGTTGGCTCGATCGCGCCACGACTGCTCAGCAGGACGGTCTGCACTCCAGGCTAGTGCTATCTCGCGCATGGCGCGCAAGGTGGCATCCAACCGCGGGCTCAAACCTTCGCCTAGGCAGGAGTGCTGCAATGCAACCTGTATGTGCCAGCAGGCATGCAGGTCGCAATCCTCGGCGGCGACCGAATTAAACAGCTCAGTGAAAGTCTGGAACACCCATTTCCAACCTGCGATGACCTGGGGCGCATCATCTGGGTTCTTCGGGCGATAAAACACAGAAACCCAAGAGGCCTTGATCGTTCTACTCCACTCTCCAAGCTCCTTCGCCTCCGTGCCTAACACCCGATGCAGCTCCAGTTCGGCGCAGTCAGCAAAATGGCCCCAGGCATTCGATAGGACAGCCCAAGCCTCTGTCGCAGCCGCGTGCATACTGGTGGCAATCGCGTGCGCCGCATGCATCAGCGCACCGCTCCACTCCACCGGCGACGGTGACGGTCCAAAAGGCGGATCGAGAGGCAAGCGCTGGTGAGTGCGATAAACAAGTTGCTTCAAACGTAGCGAATCTCCTCGGAACTCGACTCGAGCAGGGCGATGTGGTTTTATTTCCCAAGACGTGTCCGCCGAGACCCGAGAGACCAGACGAGCGATCCCAGGGCCCATCACGAAATAGTCGATCACGCTGCTCGACGTCGAAGAACGACACGTAAAAGCCGAAGGAGAGAATATAATCATGCCCAGTTTGCGGGGAAATCCAGAAGCTTCCAGAACCTCTGGACTCAGATTCCAATCGCCGCCCAAAATCGTATGCGTCGGGTCCGTGACCGACTGACCTATCGACTTCAGCATCCCCAGGTTGGCCTCGCTGAGGCCCTCAGCCGATCTCATGTAGACCGAATATAACGACAAAACTGGCCACCCAGGGAACTCAATCAAAACCTGGACGACGCGGTGGGCACATATGCACCCATTCCCATCAGCAGGCCAACGAAGTCCCACTGCAAGTCGAGCAAAAACTGCAACTCCCGACGACAGCTTCCCAGACTCAACATTGATACGAGCAGGAAAAAAGAGAGCGTGCCAGCCCATCGAACGGGCTGTGGTGGTGGCCTGGCCGACGAACTCCTCACTGATGCCAACCTCTTGGGCGCACAGCACGATGGCGTCTGTCTCGGCCAAACGTCGGCGCAGCGTGCGCCAGCAGGAG